GTTGCATTTCTGACCAACACCTGGCATTGTATGCACCTGAAATATGACCGATCACATCTCAACAATGAAAGAAAGCAAACACCTATCATATATTAAAATGATCATGCCTATTCTGTAAATGTTCATGGATAAATCAATAAACCAGGACTCCAGTAAACTCTACACTTTTAGAGATGAGCATTAAGAGAGCCCTGCTGTCCTGTTGGTTGCCATTGTCTCTGCTTACCCAAGGCCTCCGAATTGCTGGTGCAGTGTGTTCCTGAAGAGCTAAAGGAGCTGATGGAACTTTTGGGAAGTCTTTTCAGCCTTCTGTGTGGTCATTTGATTTTAACATGCAATGAGACTATATTTTTTTTCTCTAAAATTAACATGCTTGTTTGTTCTTTATATGCTAATTCTAATACATATTAAACAAAAACAAAATTGAAATGATTTTGTGTGCTGCCTTAGCATATGGAAGTTTAGTCTATGCTAGGTGATCTGCTTTGGAATGTGGGTAAAGAAATTCCTTCCTTCTGGTTCACTCTAAACCTTAGGAAGTGAGTCTTCTAATCACTTCTCCCTATTCAAGCTTGTGTCAAACATATTTATTGGTAATGTTTACGCTGAGCTTTCTCTTAACGACAAATATTTCATGAATAAAAGGTAATCATTGGCTCTCTGCTTGCACTCTTCTACCTACTTAAATAAGTGAAAGGGCAAAATGACAGCAAAGCAAGACATGCAGACTTGTTAAGCGGGTGGGATTCAATTACTGCTACCACATTAGCCACTGTTCTTTTCCACTTTGTTAATCTGCTAACAATTACGCCCAGGTCATTAACAAAGGCTCGTGACAAAGGGGTTTCAAGGCATTGCTCAGGGGATCCTGGAAGTGACAGAGTAGCTCCTAGGAGGCTTCCCTCACCTTATAGCTCAGAGTAAGTCAGGGAGAGGTGGCAAGCAGGGAAACCAGTGTTGATAAGGGGACAGCAAAGGGACGAACTGGCACAAAGGAGAAGAGATTGAGAAAGTTCTGGTAGAGGATAAAGTATCCCTGGTCTCTGCAACTCTCACATGAAGAGTGTGACAGCTATGATTTGCGAATGCTTACAAGCCATTTTAAGTTGTATTTAACATTCATGCTTTTTCTGAAGTGGTGACTTTTCTTGTACATTAAAAAAAAAAAGAAAGAAAAGAGGGCCCGGCAGTGTGGCCTAGCGGCTAAAGTCCTCGCCTTGAACGTGCCAGGATCCCATATGGGCACAGGTTCTAATCCCAGCAGCTCCACTTCCCATCCAGCTCCCTGCTTATGGCCTGGGAAAGCAGTTGAAAGTCTTAGGACTCTGCACCCTTGTGGGAGACCTGGAAGAAGTTCCTGGCTCCTGGCTTCGGGTTAGCACAGCATCGGCAGTTGCGCTCACTTGGGAAGTGAATCATTGGACAGAAGATCTTTCTCTTTCTCAATGTCTCTCCTCCTCTCTGTATATCTGACTTTCCAATAAAAAAAAAAATCTTTAAAAACAAACAAAAACAAAAGAGTCCCATTTGTTGTAAAGAAGACTAGACTATAAGGAAAGCTCGCACAACGGGAATGACTTCCTCCTAGGTCTCACACATGATTTAGAACCATCTTTCTTTGCAAATTAAATTTCAACTATTTCTCTCACCTTTACCTTGGGGCTGGCATTGTGTCACAGCAACCGGCCACATGCAACATGAGCACCCACACAGGTGCTGCAGCTGTCCTGGCCGCTCACTTCCAATGCAGCACGCTGCTGAAGGCCTGGGAAAAAACAAACCAAGTAAGTCCATGCCATGCACACTGGAGAACCAGATGAAACTGCTGGCTTAGGTACTGCAGGACTAACCAATGGAAGATCTCACCTCCTTCTCACCCTCCTTCTATAACACTGGCTTTCAAATAAATAAATGTCAAATTAAAAGGAACATGAGCACACTTGATTAAAATGACAAATTCACTTACTGTGGAAGAAAACTATTCATGCTATCTTAGCCACTTTCAAATTTATTTAAAAATAAGACTTTGTCTTGTAAATTTCTTCTGAAAACAGAAATAAAACACAAAACCAGCATTATTCCTCAGAATCTACAATTTTCAGTTATATATACATCGCTAAATACATGACACATGGAAATGATATTATATAATACCATGTTTAAAATAGCAAAGAAACAAAACAGAACAAAAGACTTTCCAAGAGCAGTAAAAATAGCTCATTTATTGCAATCTCTGCTCAAAGGCAGTGTTATGTAAATCCGATTTATAGGCCCTGAGTGTCTCCTGCATGGTGGCAGCTGGAAGGCTCTCCCCTGGCATTGCAGGAAGTTGGCAGTGCATTCACCTTGGAATGTAACATGATACACACATTGCCATTAGTGATTTTATGTACTTCTGCATACCCTTCTTGAATTTGACATAATGGATAAGATCAGGTAATAATTTTTTACTCTTTCAAATTTTATGACTAAAATATTGAGTTGAATTTTATGGCATGCATTTGTTATATTCCGTAGCCAGCCAGCAGCTTTAGGCGAGGAACACTTTCGGCGTCTAGAATCAGACTTTAAAATGAGTAATCATGTATCCGAGAAGCATGAGGGATTTTCAGGATCTGGAATGGAACTAAATACTACCCACTGTGTAACATATGAGCAATATTTTTTCCAGGTCTTTCCATAGAAATTCCTTTTCTTTTGTGGCTAGAGCAAATTTTTAATTCAAACATGAGCCAGTCTTGCTACCATGAGTTTACAATTCCTCCAGAGCAGAGTAGCTTCTGGATGGAGAGTTTATTCAGCACATTTTGCACTGATGGTGCAAAGGGGGGATTTAGCATGAAGAGTTCCCAAGGGGTTCTAGTAATTACCCAGTCTTAGTTTTGAAGAATCCAACTGGAAGAAGCCAATTGAAACAGTGGTGGATTGAATTACAATTAAGGGTATAAAACATTTACACAACAAAGCCCCAAAGCCTCTGGAGTCTTAAAAAGAGAGAGAGAGAAATACTGGTTCTGACTTCCTTCAGGAGGACTTGGCCCCCCAGAGGAACCGAGTGGGGAAAGCCAAGTGCTGCTGTGGCTTCTAGCTGTGCTGGAACACAGCTTTCCCCCTCCTCACTGGAAAGGCAGGGAGCAGAGACCACGAAGGGGAGCTTGCAGCTGCTGATTTAGTCAGGGGCCCACAGCTCCGCCCATGCAGGCAGCATGGGCTTTCCTAGGGACCCTGGCCAGTACAGCCTGAACTCCACCACCAGCTCCAACCATGGAGGTCCATGCTCTAGGCAACGGATTACGCTTCTGTTCCCCCTCCCAGACTCAGAACAACTCAGTTTCCACATCTACCTAGGAGGTGCCGGGCCTTTAACGGTCACTTTAATAAAGTATTTCCTAACTTGCCAACTTGTAGTTCCAACATTCACCCTTGCTGTCTAAGTCAGGTAGTGTATTCATAAATGAAAGCATCTTGAACCACTTGATGATGTAAGTTAGAAGTACATGCCAGGAAGTTTAATCCTAACAAGCCAGATTTGTGGTACATTTTACTTACTTGATGACTTTTAGCATCCTGGGACTTCAGAGTCCTATGCCAGGGACCGGGTTTGTAAGTGTGTTTGGCTAACCAGATCTGTCCCTCGGTTTGGGCATTCATTGCCCATTTCCATGTGCTGGTCCCAATCCAGTTGGAACATCTTAGAAGTTCTGCAGCACCTAACTACGGAGGGGTCAGAAAACTCACATATCTCTCTTAGACTTCAGGTCAAGACCAAACTAAATCTCCACTTACACATGGCCCCAGTTTTTACTTCCTCCAGTGCTTAGAAACAAATTGTACTATGGGTTTCTTTCGAGATTTGTTTTACTTGATTTTAACACGGGAAGTTGTGTTGACCTTGAAAACATAAGAAATGTAACTTCTTTTTTTTTTTTTTTCCCCTGTGCCATCAAGCAAAACTAACACTCATTCGAAAAGGAATCTGTACTCATCTCTGCCTCTAAGATTTGTTCCTATTCCGCTTGCAGTCAGGGGAAAACCATGAGCTCATTGCTCCCCCGGTGCCAAAGTGACTTCTGCAGCCCACGTGGACAGTTGCGGCGCCTTCAGCCCGGCGCGCGCTTCAAGTCTCCCCGACTTGCAGCGTGCCATCTGCGGGCACACAGTGGCCCAAGGGAGTAGGTGGACCGGGGAAGACCTGGCGGGCACAGCAGGCATCTGGGTTGCATCTCAGAGGCGCTGCACGTTACCCAGCCAGCCCGTGAGTCAGCAGCACCCGGCCGCAGTGCAGGGAGAGACGCACGGTCGCTGCCATCCACTCCACTGACCGCGCACACTTTGCTGTGCTCTCCCCCACGTGCGTCCCGAGCGCAAGGTAGCCAAGGCGCGCTCCCACACGTGCTCACGAGCCTCACCTGGCCATCGGTCCGGAACCGTCTCCCGCCACCTCTGGCTCCGTCTCCCGCCACCCCTGGCTCCAGCCCCTCGCCCCGACCCGTCCTGAGCCCCACGTGGGCGCACCCGGGCGCCCGGCGGCCGCGCTGCCCACGGAGCCCCGGGCCGGCCCCCGCGCCTCCCGGGAAGGCGCGGTGTCGGGGTCGGACGGACAAAGGCGGCGTCCAATCCAGCCCGGCACTGCCTCAGCGAAGGGAGGGAGCGGCGGCAGGGCCCAGCCCAATGAGCACGGAGCCCGAGTGGGACTTCCTCCCGGAATCCCGTTGGCCGGGGCAGCGGGGCCGCGGGTGACACGTAAGTGAGGCGGGAGCGGCGGGGGCCGAGCTCCGGGAGCCCCGTCCGTGCCAGCGGCCCGCCGCCCCCCGCAGCCGCCCCCGGCAGCCGGCCCGTGCCCCGTGCCCCGCGCTCACGCCGCTCGGGGCGCCGCCGGGCTCTTTGTTAGCGCGCAGCGTGCCCGGGGCGGCCGCCGAGGGGTGCCGGGGAGCCGCCGCTCGGGGCGGGAGCTCGCGGGCCGCCGGGGCCACACTGTGCCGCGGAGGGCCCCGGCAGCGGCGTCTGGGCTGCAGCCCCGAAGTATGCGGAGGGCCCCCGGGCGGCCCAGGGCGCCCCGCGCAAGTTTGGCGGCGTCGGAGGCTGCGCGCCCGGCCGAGCGCGGGGACTGAGGCGGCCCCGCTTTTGTGTCTCGCGCCTCCCCTGGATGCCGCGTCGGGCCAGCTGCGGCGGCCGCTGCTGAGGACCCCGGCGGGGCCGAGGGGCGACGGCGGGCGCGGTGCGTGGCCCAGGCGGGACCATGGGGAACGGCGTGTGCTCCCGCAAGCAGAAGCGGATCTTCCAGACGCTGCTGCTGCTGACCGTGGTCTTCGGCTTTCTCTACGGCGTGATGCTGTACTACGAGCTGCAGACGCAGCTGCGCAAAGCCGAGGCGGTGGCGCTCAAGTACCAGCAGCACCAGGAGTCCCTGTCCGCCCAGTTGCAAGGTACGCCTAACGGGACGAGCGCGGCCGGGGCCAGCTGCGCCCCGCGCCACCGGCGCCGCTGGAAAAGTGGTTTGGGGTGAGCCGTCTGCACTGCAGGCGCCAAGGCTGACCTTCAGGGACATCGGGGCGAGCTGCGCGGGGCTCCTGGCCCTCGGGAGTGTCCGGGAAGGTGGCATCCCCTTGCTCCCGCGGCCTGCTGGGGGCTCCTCCGGACACTTCCCTGGGCGTTTCGCAGGGCTAGTCCCGCACCCCCTGCCCTTGTCAAAGGCCCAGCTGCAGTCCCCACGGCACAGGACTTTCCAGGGCCGCATCTGCCAGCCCACGTCCCAGGCACACGTGTTTGGGTGGCAGGGGAGAGGTGGCTCCCGGTGCGCTCTCAGCTGCCACAGGAAGTGCGGAGTTGGGCTGAGAGGCATCAGGGGAAACCAAAGCTCTGACCCCGAAGTCCCAACCGAGGGCCCAGTCAGCGGAACTGATCCTGCTGGTTTTCACTGTGTGTGTAACAGGGTGTCTTTCTCCGTGGTGGATGTGTTGGGACGCTCCACACCACTTCGCTGATCATGCCCTTACAGTTATCGCGGTTATTCTACACAGCCTTCACTTCATCACAGTGTGTGGGTTTGTGTAGGTGTACACACATTCTACCCTTAGCCTTGGGACATGGAAGAGGACAAACAGTTTCTCATTTTGCAAGACACAGCCTCAAACTGTGTATCCTTGTATGTGCAGTCTCATTTTATGTAAATTTCACACACGTGCGTGATTGCGTGGTGTAGCAGAAGACATAAGCATCCCATGCGTACTTTTCCTAAAGCTTTTGCCTGAACTTGTGGTTTCTTTGCAACTGCTGCGGCTCTGCAGGAGCACAGCCTAGAAGCTGGAAAGAGTGAACCGCGGACAGCCATTGCAGCCCATCTCGTAGCACGTAGCACGGCCCCGAGGGCTGTTCCTGGCTGTGGGTGCAGAGCTAGAAACAGGTGTCTGTTGTTGCTCCAGCTATTCTGCGTGTTTTGTAGTTAGAAGAAAAAAGGAGAGAAAATGATATACAGCTGATTGCTCGGTCTCATTTGTTCTTACCAACTTGGAAGTCGAGTATTTTTAGCTCACTGAGGCTGCTGTGAGCCTAAGTGGCAGGGTTTGGTTCAAATGGAAAACCTGTTTTGGTATGCCATTAGATTCATGAAATTCCTCATTCACCTTGTTGAAATCTATGCAGAAGTAACTGCTGGTTAGAAAATAGTAGATGTTTATTTACTAAGAACTATCAACAGCTTCCCTGGGCAGATGAGCTCATTTAGGCCAAGGGAGCGTTGGCTGTCTAAGGGTACAAAAGCAGGACTGGATGTGCAGCAGCCAGAGCCTTAGCTATGGGTGGTTAGTGGGTCTGTGCTGGGTGTGGGAGTCCCGGGTTTGTGGGTGGTCAGTGGGTCTGTGCTGGGTGTGGGAGTCCTGGGGAACGCCTTATACTGTGGGTGGTTAGTGGGTCTGTGCTGGGTGTGGGAGTCCCGGGTTTGTGGGTGGTCAGTGGGTCTGTGCTGGGTGTGGGAGTCCCGGGTTTGTGGGTGGTCAGTGGGTCTGTGCTGGGTGTGGGAGTCCTGGGGAACGCCTTACACTGTGGGTGGTTAGTGGGTCTGTGCTGGGTGTGGGAGTCCTGGGGAACGCCTTATACTGTGGGTGGTTAGTGGGTCTGTGCTGGGTGTGGGAGTCCTGGGGAACGCCTTATACTGTGGGTGGTTAGTGGGTCTGTGCTGGGTGTGGGAGTCCTGGGTTTGTGGGTGGTCAGTGGGTCTGTGCTGGGTGGGGAGTCCTGGGGAGGGCCTTACACTGTGGGTGTTCGTGGGGTCTGTGCTGGGTGTGGAGTCCCAGGAACGCAGGCCCTTCCTTCTTCCCATTCCATCCTCACCTTTGCACAGGGCCTCCCATTCCAGGAAGCGCACATGTGTATTTGAACAACAATCTAAAACCAGCTCAGTGAAGGTGAAAAAGTCTCCCCAAGTCCTTGGGTCAGCGCTTGAGGCCTCGCTGCTGTGGCTCTGCCGTTGGAAAACCAGAGCAAACATCAGAGACAGAACATTGCCCAAGGAGTGGCTTTGCCTCAGCTGCCAGTGCTACTACTTGTTGACCGAGCTGTTGATTTCTGAATCATGGTCTTGATTTGAAGTATTCCATTTTGAGAACCAGAATCAGTTTCTTATCCCCCTTAATTTAATTTCTTTTGCTAATGGTGGTGGAGGAGGAAGGTGGCAGATGGTAATACAGGATCATGAAAATGTACATTTCTTGCTGCAGCAGGAACTCAAAGGCTCTACTGAGCTTGAATGAGCGGCCTTAGAGTTTACTTCTTAATTTACATTTCTGCAAGTTCCACTCGAATCGTGATGCTGCAAGACTTAGGATATGATTGTGCACAAAGTGTTTCACAAATGGCCAGCGTTTACTGTTACCTGTAATGAACCCGTTTGACTTCTGTAGCCTTTCTTTTGGATTCCACATCTGCCCCTTTAACGAAAAGCTCTGGATGCAGCATCACTTTTGCTTTCTTTTTCCAGTGACAGGTGACTTTTTTATTCTTTTGCTCAACAATGTGGAGTATTGGCTCACTGACTGAGGTTAGGTGGGATCTCTTGAGTTGGGATCTGATTTAATTAGGAGTGACCTTTTAAAGGATGAGTCCTGAGAAGTTCCATGAGCTGATGATTAGTGAACATGGTTAGATCATCTTTAGCTGCAGAGTTATACTGTAGTTCCTATCTAGGTTACTGTAATCTCAAGTGCCTTTTGTTGTGAAATAGCTTCGTTAAGGTGCTGGGAAAGTAGGGGAGCCTTCCTCCACTGCACAGAGTGTTCATTTGTCTGTGTGTTATCTGTAAGCAGCTCCCGAGTGGCACCTTACTTTTACTGGGGCCTGGGGCAGAGGTCACATGCTGGTGGGAGAGGCAGAACAACAACCTTTGCTCACCACAGTATTGACTTAGCATTTAGGCTTAAAGCAAAGCAAAACAAGAACAATCCTTTTGGCTGAGCTTTGTACCATTGTCTGTGTCTAAGAGCAGTGTTTTCTACCCTGGACTGTCTGTTAGAACACTTGCATGGCTGGCTCCCGGAGCAGTTAAATGTGGTCCTGGGGGCGAAAGTGCAACCTCAGTGGTTCTCACAGCTCTGCAGGTGGTGTCGGGGTGCTACTCAGGCTGGGAATCCAGCTCCGAGATCTGCACACTGGACCTTGAGTCTTGTCCTGGAGGCAGAGCAGTCGGTCTGCTCTGTGGTTCGCACTCTCGTTCTAGAACTTCCTGGGTGAACATGGGCCTCGTTTTTCTTTTGTCAGATTTATTTTATTTAAAAGGCAAGACTTAAAGAGAGACAGAGAGAGGAGCTCTCACCCAAGTGACATCTTCCATCTGTTGCGTCCCTTCCCTAAGGGCCACCACAGCCAGGCTGGGTCATGCTGAAGCCAGCAGCCTGGAGCTCTGCTGGGCTGTTCCTTGTTATAGGCAGGGGCTCAAGCACCGGGCTGCCTTCTGCTTTCCCAGATGCATTAGCTGCAAGTTAGATCAAAAGTGGAACAGCTGGGACTCAAACCAGGGACTCACAAGACTGGCTTGTTCTGCTAGGACCCAGCACTGGTCCTGACTCATTTTCTTTTTTCTCTTCTCTTCTCTTCTCTCTTCTCTCTTCTCTTCTCTTCTCTTCTCTTCTCTTCTCTTCTCTTCTCTTCTCTTCTCTTCTCTTCTCTTCTCTTCTCTTCTCTTCTCTTCTCTTTTATTTTATTTTATTTTATTTTATTTTATTTTATTTTATTTTATTTTAATAGAGTTTAGAATGATCCATTTGGGAGCTGTTTGCAAAGTAGCAAGCTAAACCTCTCTGCCTGTAGTGCTGGTATTCCATATAGGTGCTGGTCCTTGTCCTGGCGGCTCTGCTTCTAACCCAGCCTCCTGCTAGTGGCTGGGGAATGCAGTGCAGAATGGTCCTAGTCTAGTAAGATGATGCCACTAGCATTCCTGGCATGCACCTTCTCATGAAAGATCAGCACTTCGTTTCACCAGAGTCTTGTTTGTATTAAGGTACTGTGCCTTTCTCTTGACTCAGTTTCATCATGTGCAACAGTTTGAACTTGGCAGAATCATTTGTTTACAGTTAGCCACCTCCGTTTATTGAACATCAAGGAAAGCAGCTGAGCAGGCCTGAATCCAGCCTGTGTTACTCTGCAGAAGAGACCTTCCTGAACAATTTCAGTTTAGCGTATGATTAACCATTAACTCCCTTCCAGGTCCCAACAGATTGGGAAAGGGCTGCTGCAGTAACTGTGTGCAGAAAGATCGAGGAGAGGTATTTAGCTATTTAAATGTTTGGAAAGGCAGGTAGCTTAGAGTCCAGCAATGCTGCTTCCCTAAAGCATAGTGGGAGTGTTGGGAGTCCTCTGGTTTTCCAAGTGGTGGACAAAAAGCACCAAGAAAATGTATAAAGAGGGTTGTGCCATGGGTGTCTCTATGTCAGGTAAGTATATTACACTTGTTTAAAATTGAAACAAGAAAGCCCTCTGCTCTAGGGGTGCGATCTGTCACCTGAGTGCCTGAGCGAGTTGTCCTTGCATTGTGCTTGCATAACCGTTAGGCTGGCCCTCCAGCCTCAGTGTGATTAGCACATCCGGTTGTGCTTGGTTTTCCTAAAAGCAGAGGTCCCTTTAGCCAAGGAATAGGCTCTCTTTAAAAATTAATGATTTTGAGACAGTGAGAGAGATACTAAGCATATTCAGACAGAATGTCACCTAACAGTGAAGTAGCTTGGAATGAAACAGAACCCTCTTGCTGTGGTTGGCCATGCTTTTTCCACAGAACACATTGCCTTCAAAGTTATTTCCCCATGTGGCATGAGAAAATGGGTTTAAGATGAGACTGAGGATTGGACATTACCAGTGTGGTTCTTCCTCAGGACTTTCCAGGGTGGAGTGCATTGTTGGTGCTGGCCTGCGAGCTGATTGGTTGATGCTGGAGCTGGTT